TTTTTTTCATGTCCGGTTGTTCAGTCCTGGCATAGTGATTAGAAGCACTGGTTTCTTGCCGAAGCGTCTTTGGTTCGAATCCCACCCCACTGTCTGTACTTTGTCATGCTTATAAGAATCGTAGACCTCAATATTTTCCATACCATCAAGATCTCTCTAAGAGCACATCAGTTTATCAATCTACACCTCCATCACACAGGTACTGAGATTACAAGGCAAAGATAAAAGTTCTTTTGCAAACAGACTTCAGTGCAAAATGTCACTTCGAATCAATGAGCGATATAGTCTTTGAAGATCGTTCGTCACTATGACTCTGTTTTCTGCTCATTTGCAACCTCTTCACTGTCGAAAGCTAGTCAAACACGCCGGATGCCAGAAGAATGGACCCTGGGTGAACGGTGCGCAGCAACTCCCGTGGGTTAATCAACATGCTCACAGTACGTAAGCAACGACGGTACAGTCTATGCCTCAACCTACCGTCAATTAAAGAGGGCATGAGCGAACAGTTCGTGTTGTGGTCCGGGGAACTCTTGAAGCCGCTGGTGGAACCCTCAATTATAGGTTCTCACACTGTTCCTTGACACTTCACAATTTGCCAGATGACATTCAAGGACCCGGCAAGGTAGGCGAAATCTGATAAGCCTTCTGTTCTCGGATTTTGGTTAAAAACAACGTAGAAGATGTGCCACGGAGACCTCTGTAAGTAGTGTTGGGGAATAAACAGCAAGTAGATTGCATCTTGTCTCGACGTGCAGACTATAAGCATCCAGTTTGGAGTGTTTTTCCAGCTGGATTACTACCCAGTCGATCGGATGAAAGTTGGGACATTGGTTAAAAACCAAAAAACATTAGAACGGGAGAGAAATGAGTCTGCGAATAGCAGACAACCAGATCATAAAAGTGAAGCACTGACTTTTGCAGACTCGTCCGTTGAAATTATAGGTAAGCCAACGGATGATTATTTTCCTAAAATGTCTGCAGATTTGCAACAGGACAGTGAACTGTATGCGTCATGCAAAATATTCAGTTATAGCTATTAGACGCAAGCACTAGCAGACAATATCCAAAGATCTATGGAACCAAATAATGTGATAATTATGCAGACAAATGTGCAGAACTTATTCAACAAATTAGACGAAATAAAACTGACCGTAACCCATTTCCAAATCAACTTGAGAGCTTTGACTGAATCATTGATAAATGTGCAGCTGGAAGACCCAAAAGTCGAGTTAGAGGGCTTCCAGCTTATCCGCATTAACCAAAATGAACGAAGAGATGTAAGACTCGCGATATTTATGTGACACGGAATCAACTACGTTAGGGAAGATCCTTCCCGAAAAGGAAAGATTGGTTATGAAAAGCTCAGTTGTTATTTGGGAGTAGCAAACCAACCAGACCTCCAGATTTCCCTGGTCTACAGACCGCCGAGATGGCGGAACAATGCAGACGATATCCTCGTCACCGGACTAAAAGTAGTTTGTCATAACCAGCACGTAATGATTTCAACTGTCCAGACACTAAGGGAAAATTGATGTCGGTAAGATGTGGTCTGGTAGCCACGTCGAGGAAAATAATTTAACCGTTTCTCCTACTTACATGCTTTTGAATAGACGTGATTTCGTCGTTAGGTTTTACGGTCAGGGTTCAAGGTTAGGTTTTAGTGTTTAGGACTAGGGTCTAGAGTTAAGATTAAGGTTTCGGGCTTTGATTATGGAATAGGGTTGGGTTTTAGGGTCAGGGATTGGGATTTACGACATGGGTTTAGGGTTAGGGTTAGATATTACGGTTTACGACTAGGGTTTCGAGTTAGGTTTTAGTGTTCGGGATTAGGGTTAAGGGTTAGGTTTTAGGGTTCCGGGTAAGGTTCTAGGGTTTAAGATTAGGATTTAGGGCTAGAATTAGGTTAAGGTTGGGGTTCAGGACTAGGACGTAGGGCTATGGTTAGGGCTAAGGTTAGGGTTTGTGATGAGGGTCTAGAGCTGAGGTTAGGGTTGGGGATTAGGGTTCACGGTTAGGATCAGGGTTAGGGAATAGGGTTAGGGTTTGGGGTTAGGGTTAGGTTTAAGGGCTTATGATTAGGCTTTCGGGTTGGGTTTTAGGGTTTGGAATTAGGGCTTGGGGTTTAGGGTTATGTTTTAAGTTTCGGCTTAGGGTTGGGGTTTACGTTTACGAATAGGGTATAGGGTTTAGGATTAGGATTTAGGGTTAGGGTTGGGGTTTAAAGTTAAGGTCAGGGTTTAGAATTGGGATTTAGGGTAGGGGTTTAGATTTAAGGTTGGGTTTAGGGTAAG